AATTGATAATATAAAGTATTTATGTCAATTGTTTTGATCTGGTGTGCTAGTTCTAGATATTTTAAAGTAACTAAACTACATTCATTTACAAATACTGTGCATGCATTTGTAAGTACCATACAAATACTTTTGGAAAAGGGAGTGGGAACTCTACCTTTTTGTTGCCTACATATTTCTAAGTGCTTGAAAAAAATGTATATGCTATATGGAGTTAGAGATTTAATATGTAATTTATAAATGCATTAAATAATTCAGACTCTTTTAAGAGTTGTGGGTGATTGGCCATAAAAAGGGCAGACTATTTATTGTAATGCAAAAATAGCTACTCTAAGGTTTTTAGGATCTTGTATCTCCTAAATTCACATAGTTAAAGGACTAGTTTACTAGCTGTACAGATGTTTACCTTTGAATTGAACTGAAACAAAACTGGCCAGGAGATTTTAAAGAAATAAGTAACTTGTTTTGGTGTAATTAAGTATTGCATGCTCACTGTAGAAAACTGGGGAATACAGAAAAAGTATAAAGAAAAAAATCAAAATTGAATTATTTATTGTAAGTATATGTGCCTGTTTATCTCATAGTTGAGATCATATTGTACTTAATAACCTACTTCTTTCTTCATTTTAATATTATATTGTAAGCATGTTCTCATGTAATTAAACGTATGTATATTTTTGCATAAATTTTTTTCCATGGTATTTAAAACATTGTGTTAATTAAATAGCTCTACCATTTTATTTATTTCCCTTTTGTTGACCATTTGTGTTGTTTCACATCTTTATTATGAATAGTGCTATACTGAACATCATTTCAGTAAATCTATATCTAAAATCTTATCGTTTCCTTGAAATAGATTCTTAAGGTCAATGGATATAAATATGTCCACATGTCCACATCCATCTGATTTTAAAATCAGCTTTACTTCCATAGATTTATGTTTTATTGGTTCTGGGATTTCAGCATGAACCAAACCTGTTAATGAGAAGAAGTTACTTTACTGCTAATGAGAAGGAAAGAGAACTACCCATTCAATACTGTACTCCCTGGCCTCAGAAGTGACTTAGTTTAACCTCATTTGACTTGTTTTAATTGCCAGAATAACAACTCAAGACAGGATTCCATGAAGACCCTTGTATAAAATTGTATTTACTTTTTTTTTTTAATGACATTTTAAAAACCATACACTTTTTCTTGAAAACATCGAGAGAAAATAAGACCAGTTAAATATCGAGAGAAAATTACGACCTGGAAACATAAAGGCCTATTCTGTCTTGTTACATAATGTACATACTCTTTGAAGGAAAAAAAAAAAAAAACATATACGAGAAATACTTGCCAAATTACTTGTGGTGATGAGTACAAATGTACACTACACACTAATTTTGGCTGCAGGGAACCCTGGAACATCAGTCCTATAGACAATATGGCCTATTGGTTTGGCTAAAAAGTCTGTTTGGAATTGTTCTGTTGCTGAAAACATCTTTTCTTAATAGAGTAACACTTCACTTACTGAGCGCTGTTAGGAAAAACAGCTTCCAAAGGAATCAAGGTTTTGCCTTTGAGTGCCAACACATTTTGAAGGCTTCCTCAAATACAGCAATGTTAATGTCACTGCCTCCTTAACCAAATGATACAGATTGTAAAGTACTTTTATTGATGATCCGAGGTCATTTTTTTAAGCCACAATTACTATTCAGTTATTCTTCAGAGTCCGTGTGTCCCTACTTTAAATGTTACCAGATTAGGGTTTTTAAATTCTTTTTTTCTATTGATACCAGGTTTTCTATTATTTCTTGTTACTGTAAACATGCTTGCTTTTTACCAGTGTTCTCTATCTCTCGTCTGTTATTTTTCATCTGTTGGTGAAAGTTCATTAGAAATCTATTCAAAATAAAGCAGCCCCTAATGGGAACTCAAAGAACTACGCCATGGGTAGAGCTTTGGTGCATGAAATCTATGAAAATCGGTTTGAATTTCTCAAGGCTTTGCTGGCCTTGGCCATTTCAGATAGTGATGCCAGTAATGTACCACAAACCTAAAAGAAATCATAAGAATCGTGGCTTGTATCTACTGATTATTTGCTGTAGCCTTTGAACTGGTTTTCTTGCTCTCGTAACTCTTCACACATTATCATTGTGATCCTTTAAAAGAATGTAAGTTTGATGTCATTTCTCTGTTTAAAACCTTCCGGTGGTTTCCTCATCCTTAGAATAAATTCGGGTATCTTTTCACCCTGGCCGGCAAGGGCCGGCTCCGGATCCCCTTATCTCACTGCCTCATTTCCCACCTCTCTTGCTCGCTCTGATTTCTTGCTGTTCTTTGAACAGGTGATGGTCGCTCACCTGAGACCTTGGGCACTTGCCATTTTCTTATCCTGGCACCCCTTCTCTGCTTGGCTCTCTCCCTCTTTTCATTCAGATCTCTCCAAATTTCAGCTCCTCAGAGAGGCTTTCCAGGAGCATGTAATTCAATACAGCGTCCCTTGTCACTCTCCATTCCCTTAGCCTGTTTTATTTCCTTCAGAGTACTTCTCACATCTGAAATGATCTTACAACATGTGTTTATTGTCTATCACCCCTCCAAGAATGTAAACTCCATGAAAGCCAGGGGTTTTGTTTTATTCATGAACACATCTCTGAGTACAGAAGAAGAATGCCTGTAGGGGCTCAAGAGATAATTTTTGAAAGAATGATACGTTATTTAATTCCCATTACAGTCCTAACAGGTTGACACTACTGAATGCCCATTTCCTAGTGAGCAAATTGAAACTCAGAGAAGTTAAATAAACCTGTCCATACCCCATAGCCGCTAAGTACTGAAGGTGGGGGAGCTGGGAACAGGGGAGTGGGTCATGCCTTGTGTTCGCTTGGAGGGATGTATTTGAGATACGATCACTGAAGCCACTTGGATACACTAAACACACAAGTAGCAAACCTGACTTGAGAACAAGTTGCACGGGAGAGAAAAGAAAAGTGTTAGTGTGGAAGTTCTTATTTTCTCAAAGGGGGACACTCAGGGATGAACGTTAATGTAGCTAAATGCGACCCAGTTCTCGTGAACTTTGGGCCCTGAGGCCGCTGGGGGGTGGGAACAGAAGCACCAGGGTTCAGGTAAGTCTCCTGGCAGCCACAGGGCAGCAGGGACTAGATAGAGTCTGAGGCTGTCACAGCAGCTTGGCCAGCAGGCCTGCATCTCTGAGGGGAGGTGAAGCTCCCTGAGGCAGCACTAAGTGTACACCCACTGATGAGAAGGTGAATGCCAGCTGCCCTTAATGTGCTCTGTGCCAAATATCCTTAAAAGCAGGGAAAACAAAAGAAGAGAAACTATAAAGAAAAAAGACAGAGAGACGGGAGCGGTTGTGATACCCACTGGGGTAGCCACCGGCTCCTCCTTTGAGGATGGCCCTGTGGCCTCACTGTGGTAAGTCAGGTCCACAGGCTGCCTCAGCTCTCAGTTCCTTCAGGGTCCGCCCTGGGTGCAGAGCTGCCAGGCCTGAGGTCATGCCCTCCCCTGAGCGGCCACATCCAGTGTCTGAGAGGTGGAGGTCAAAGGCCTGACTACTCTGGCCCCGCCTAGGACATCCTGAAAGACAAAATGCTCCAGAGATCTCCTCAGGGTTGGCCGAGGCTGGCAGGCCTGGCTTACAGTTGTTTCCTCTGCTATTCCTGCTTCTTCACCATTTCCTTTCACAGGCGTGGATCCCTAATCACTATCTTGTATTGATACTTCTAACCCTTTTCGACATCTGTTTCTGCAGAACCCAACCTGTGATGTTAGGTTTGATCGCTGGCTAACAAGACGTCTCTTGGTACACTGGAACCCAGAAGCAGCCTCTGGCTATCCAATGATGAGCAGAACAGCCACAGTCTCTGACCTCATGGGGGGGTATCACTTAGTGGCGGTGGCAGATGTTAAATGAAAAAAGAAAAAAAAAATTGTACTAAGTGCCATTAGGGTCTGTAGAGAAGAAAACCCTATAATATTGACAACCGTTAGTTAGCGTAGGTGTATTGTGTTTTCATGTTAAAATTATGACAATGTGGGCACCTACTCAGAATTCGCTATCAAAGTAACACCATAACAAAATTGCTGGTAGAACAAAATCTTGTTAACTTTATTTCATCCTTTCAAATCTGCAGTCTCAGACGACCATTTACTTATAATGTCCTTATCGAAGTAGATCACTGGTAAAATAGACTCCGGGATATAGAAGGCAAAGGGAGATTCTAGTTGGGATCTACTGCTTTCCCCTTTCTGGCGGCCACCATTCTCCTGAGAACACCTGTGGTGAACTGCTTCCTGTCCTCCTTTAGGTGCATGGGGTGTTCGTGAGGGTATGTCACCCACATTTGAATGATCGGGAGCAGTACTTCTCCATCCTGGTTTAGGAATGTGCACATAATCTCGGGCTGACCAATAACTGTGAGCTCCTGGACTTTGCCAGAACTATTAGGCAAGAAGCTCTCAGGCCAGTGGGATCAGAAAGCTGGTAAAATGGAAGTCTTGAGCTTCTGGTGACCGTCATTTGGCCTGAGAACGAAGCTGACTGAATCCTTTAAAAGCTGGCTTCAGAGAAAAACTTAAAATTACAATTGACACATCAGATCTGAAAGTTTAAAACAACAGGTCTTACTATTGTCATTTTATGATGTTATGGTGTCATTTCTGAAAATAAATGCCCACTCATCTCAGAGTCACCACAATCTTTTATTTTTAGAGTCTAACCTCTTTCCAGGAAGTAGTAGAATGAAGGAGCATTCTTAGTGGTCATTTGATAAAAACTATCCATTATTCTTTTTTTTTTTTGCGGTACGCGGGCCTCTCACTGTTGTGGCCTCTTCCGTTGTGGAGCACAGGCTCCGGACACGCAGGCTCAGCGGCCACAGCTCACGGGCCCAGCCGCTCCACGGCACGTGGGATCCTCCCAGACCGGGGCACGAACCCGCGTTCCCTGCATCGGCAGGCAGACTCCCAACCACTGTGCCACCAGGGAAGCCCTATCCATTATTCTTGACATTAAAAATTAAATGCAATGATTAAAAAAAAAATATGTTACCATTTATATCATATGTTTAGAATCATGTGGTTTCCAGTGTGAGCAGAATTTAGTCGTGCCTGGAAAGGAACAGAGGGCAATGGCTGAGAAGCACATGTCCTCATAAGACATACCTAAATAGTATGCTTAGGATGATTCATGCTAAGGATTTAGACAAAATACAGTTCTCCTCAGAGGAAACAATTTTAGCTTCTAAAGGGCATTCACTTCTGTCATCTCGATTCCTGATTTCAGTGGTTGCAGGCTGTGGACCTCTGTGCCGCACTTAGGACAAGCAAAGGACGCATCAAATAAGAAGCTACTCTTCACACAGTAGTAACAGAAAACATGCTCGCAGCCTATGGTGTGAGGCATGGTGGGCCACTCCCCACACAGAGAACACTGTCTGCCGCTGGTGGCCAGCGTGCTGTCACTGCTTGGAGCTCTGGTCAGAGGGATACACCATGAAGAGAGCTTGGCTTTCAACTTCTGGATACTGACAAGTGGTAAGAGGAAAATCAGAAACTCGGCAAAGCTGTGCCAGAGGAGTTCTCTATTCATATACTCAAAGCCTACTTCTCGGACATTTTGGGGCCTAGAAAACACAGAACGGATGCCCAGCAGACGCTCGGTCAAAGTTGCGAACTTGCCCCTTTGGAGGAAAATCAAGAAATTAATCAACCTGCCCAGCTTCAAAAGTCCAACCACGAGATTCATGCACTGCTTGGCTTTCCTGAAGGATGCTACGTGACGGTTTCGAAACAAATCGTAGCATCGTTCTTCTAACCACTTCCCACCGATTGTACAGACGGCATACCACAGCTTTTGATTTTTGCTCAGTGGCTGGTATCTCAGGTTTGGGGAAAAATCGTTCTTGTACTGAATATTCAAAACTGACTGTCCCACGGTGGCATTTTTAGAGTAGATGGTGAATCTCCATAAGAAAAGCCACAAGAATGCTTTCACCTCTGGTTCAAAGCGGGCTAACAGCCCTGGCTTAAATCCATGAAAGCACTGAGTAAACTGGGACCAAACGAGTTGCTCCAGGGCCTTGTTTAGTTCAAGTGCATCCAACTGGCTTATTCTTAGCACTCTGTCTGTCCGCTTCATATTCTCATCTCTGGAAGCCATGCCTTCTCTAAAGGTCTCTAGGAAAAAGTACAATTAGAAACCATCATCAAACAGTTGCAATCTTGTACTATCTTCTCGACTTACACTTGGAAAACTGTGACACACAAATGACACAGGACACAGAGGAGATGGGCTTTCAGTAGCATCAAAGCAGCACAGTAAACAGTCACTTCTTACTTGGAACTTCTTCCTCTTTCTTCTCTCTCTCTCCTTCCTCTCTTCTTTCCTTTCTTCTCCTATCTTTTCTTTCCATTCTTTTTTCTGGCCCTCCTAATCAAAGGAATAACAAGTTTTAGCACGTTGCATCTTTTTTCCACAAACTTTCCCCTAGGTAGTCCTCCTGGGTGAGATATTTTAAAGGGAGATGATAAAATCCTGAGGCTAACAGCGATGAGGCTGAATAATAACATGACCTATTAAATACATGAACTTAATAAATATGATGAACTATGTGGAACGTTGCAATGGATGGTAAGTCAAGACCTCAGTTTAATTTCCAGCACTTCTACTGACTCTGAAGGAATATTTTCAACAAGTCATTTAATGTGTCTCAAGAACATTTTACATTTGTAAAGGAAGTTAGGAGAAAACAAAATTAACCAGTAAGTATTTATTATTCTAGCACACACTCATAGAAAATAAATAGTAGCACAAAGCAACATGAATGCAGCAATGTCATTATTAAGGTGCACATACAGTTTTCTAAGAAAAAGAAACTATGATGTAAAAATAGACACTGAGATCATTTCATAAAAACACTAAGGAAACAAATAGGTGCTATAGGGATAAAAATCTTTTAAAATGAAATAGAAACAAGCTGATTAATGGTTAGCTGGGTATGACTGACTCATTCAAAATGCATTTATTAAATGCCTATTTTGTGCAAATCAATGAGATTAAACCACCCAGCAGCTACTGTTGTTAAGGAGTTTAGAGATTCTACATTTTACTTTAGGTATTTTACATTTTATTAATGAACTGGAAAATCCAATATATGACAAGAAATCTCTTTAAATTTAGTTTCTAAAACAGGCCCTCAACACACAGAGCTGGATCATGATCTCTGGGCCGTCAAAAGGCCTTTGCAAGGCCCGAGGCACTAAGGGAACACTGAGCTACAGATGGAGGCAGGGATCCCCGTGAAGTTCACTCTCACCAACTGTGCAGCAATTGTGACCTTGGTCAAGTCATTTCACCATGCCTCTGCTTTGGTTTCTTCACTTACAAAACTAAGGACCGGAGACAAAATGACCTCTAAAGTTCTTTCAAATTCTATTATAATTTTTTACAAAATTATACAAAAACAAACAAAAATAACTACTAAATAATAGGTGGTTTAGTGCTGTTTTCTTCTCAAACCAGATCCATGACAGGAATGCTTCTCACTGATAAATAGGGTGGGTGATCTCAACTTTTTCCCCCTTCCTGCAGCTCCCTCAAGACTTGACTTGGCAGCCTATAAGCTACAACAGTGCGGATTTTGGCTGCAAGTTCTGTGCAATCCTTGCCTCACACTAGCCAGGAGCTACAGGAAAGAAAGAAGGGGATTAGGACAGAGTGCCCTTTCTTCTCTGTTTTTCTAATCCATTCACGACTCTATCCCCTCCCAGCCTTTTCCTCATTCTGGCTGCTCTCAGCTCCCCGCTGGATGACATCTAATTGGTCTATCTTACCTTTTGCGTCCTTCAGTGCATTTCCCACACCGCAATCCTTCTAAAACACAAGCCTCCCTAAACCTACCCCCAGGCTGCTTTCCTTCCTAATGCTTCAACCTCTAGTCACAAAGTGGCCCCCTCTCTTGTTCGCTAGTGGACATTTGCTGTCTGTTCCCATCACCTGGAACAGTCTGTTCCCATTCTTTAACTGAAAAACTCACATGAGACTAAGTTTTTAAGTACTAGCTTAGGGACCACTTCTTTCTGACCCTCCAAATATGAGTTACCTGCCTCTCTAGCTGTTCCTTTAGCACCCTGTCCTTCCTCTTTCTTGGCCTTTATGTATTTACTGTTCGTAAACTACTTTTTTTTTTTTTTTTTCCTGTACGTGGGTCTCTCACTGTTGTGGCCTCTCCCGTTGTGGAGCACAGGCTCCGGATGCACAGGCTCAGTGGCCATTGGCTCACGGGCCCAGCCGCTCCGTGGCATGTGGGATCTTCCCGGACCGGGGCATGAACCTGTGTCCCCTGCATCGGCAGGCGGACTCTCAACCACTGCACCACCAGGGAAGCCCCGTAAACTACTTTTGAACTATTTCCTCCACTAGAGGATAAGCCCTGTTGCGAAGATTCAGTCTTGTCACAGCTGAATCTTAGCAACTAGCGCAGTGCCTGATACACAGACCGCCTCCTGCAAATACTAGATGAGTGGAGTAGTGAACACAAAAGTCTAGGGTGGGTGAAGGGTAGAAAATACAAATTCCCATCCAAAAACCTTTAAAACTATTTCAAGTTACCATATCCAGACTGTTGATTACTACTTCTTTCAACATGTTTCTTGTGCATCTGCTGTTTCCCAATGAATGTGTCAAAGCCAGTGATAAAATGGGAGAACAGACAGTCTCAACCCTTGCAGAGATTATAATCTAGTGAGTGGGAGGAGGGGGAAAGGAAGAGTGTGCTGCACAAAATAACACTCAGGCAATTACAATAAGGTGTGATAGGTGATGTGCAAGGGGAACTTCAGAACATTTTGCTTGCAGCTAGACCTCAGAAGGCCCAAGAAGGCTTTGGGGGGAGGCAAGATCTCTGCAGCTACCTGAAGGATCAGCAGTGTCAGGCAGATACAAGAAGGTAAGAAAACCATTCCAACAGAGGGAACGCTAGATGCCAAGGACAGGAGGGGTCAGGACAAAAGATCAGGCTGGAAAGGAAAGCAAAAGACGGAAGCTAAAGGCTCTAAAAGCCGGGTTGAGAAGGCTGCATTTTATCAAGAAGGTAATGAGGGAGCCACTGAATGGCTGTAAGCAAAGAACTAATCATTGCATTTTAGACAGCTTGTTCTGGCCACATGGAGAATGGATCAGAGGCTGAAAGACTGGAGGCAGAGAGACCAATTAAGATGACTGTTAACATGATTTAGTGAGAAACTAATGATGGTCTAAATTAGAAAGGTATCAATGGGGATGGAGAAAAGCAGGTACCTTTGAAAGCTTGGAGGTGGAAGAATGGACACGACTTAGTGAGAAGTAAGCCAAGAATAACTGACTTGAGTAATGAAGTGGATGGTAGTCCAATTCTCTGAAATAGGAAACACATGCAGAGATATAGATTTGAAGGGAAAGATAATAAATCTGTGTAGTTTTAGAGATCTGAGGCTCCTGTGAGACAGCTAAGTGGAAAAGCTCAGTAGGCAGTTATGGGGATATGACAGAGAAAATCTGGGTGGAGATTTTGAGTGTGAGCCCCCTCTCATGGGACCGATCTATTTTAAATTTACTTGATCTATTTAAATGCTACGATCAGGAAGGCAGTGGTCTAAAGATAGGTAGATCTTGTCCATTTACAGCACATTCGACTTTCTTTGTAACAACATCATCTTATTCTCATGGTTTCCTACTCCAGCTACTGTGGCATTTCATGGGTTACGTTCACTGCTAACGCAAACCTTTGGCCTTTCAATCTTTCTCTGCTGGGGTCTTCGCATCACACTCCTGTAGTCTCTCTCTGTGCTTCTAGTCTAGCGCTCTTCAAACCTCGGCCCTCATCATGCGGAGGCCTTGTTAGATTGCGTCCCTCAGTTCCAGATTTTCTGATTCAGTAGGCCTGGAGTGGGAGCCAAGAATTTGCATTTCTAGCAAGTTCCCAGGTGATGTTGCAAATTACTGGGCTAGTCCATTTCCAAGCTGAATTCATAATTTTGTGGTCATATCTATCACCCATACAGCTCAATGCTGCATGCTGGTCTTCCCACTCATTTCTGCTTGGTTTTCATTCCTAGATCTACAGAGGTTCTTACAAATCTTCACTGATTCAGGCTTTCTCTTTCTGCTATTAAGTAGTCCTTGTGAGACTGAGACCATTCACAGATTCCACAATTTCTATGAACATCAATACATCCTAGCCCTGCCAGATGCCTGGGATGCAAAGATAAAGTCTTGTCCTGGCTCTCACTTTAAAGACTCCCACCAAGGTCTGCACAAGGGAAGCAGGCAAGGTGATGGACAAGTCAGGCATTAGCGAAGGTAGATGGTATTGCAAGGTTCTCAAAGACACTCCATAAATCTTAAAACTATCTCAACAGAAAAGAATCCCAAAATTTATGTAAAAAATCATCAGTGATTATTTTTCTCACTTTCTTCTGCAGTTTACAAATCTTCTCTAATTAACATAACATTTATGTAATTAAGAAAAGAAAAAACTAAAACACTATTTGAAAAACCTCATAAGCAAACCAAACTCTATAAAGTTACTTATTCTTATTTACCAAATCATGTCTTTTTTACCTCATTATAGCCCCTGGGATAAAGTACAAACTTCTTAGACCTAACCTAACTCAATTCTGTCTCCATCTCTGTAACCATATAACCCGTTATTCACCAAAGAACCTTTAATTGCAGACTATCCTTCGGTCCTGCCTTTGTACCTTTTCTCATGTACCTAAAACACTTACCTTCCCCAGCAACTCCTCCTACCGCCCTCAACCATCTGCCCTTCACATTCCAACCCAGTTACAACATTTTCCACGAAACCTTCATAATTACCTCCAACTCCCACTGTCAGCATTTTTAACTCTGACAACAATTGTCCGTGTCACATGCTTGAGCCCTCAACTCTTTGTACTGTGATTTCAGTAGTGTGAATACATCTTCTCTCCCTAACTTGACCATAAACTAGTTAAGGGAAAGTGCCTCATACTTGCTTCTCAAAGTGCTTGCCACCCACAAAGTGACTTTGATACCTAACTCAGTTTTCCTCATGCAAAATTCTATAAATCCTTCAGGATAGGTGGGAATACGGTATATGCAACTCTTCTACTGTAACAGTATCAACAACTCGGCGTCTTCCCCAGGTTTCGTGTTCTGTGGTCAGCAAGATAGGGGAAATTCTCTTATTTGTAAAAGTACTCCTGAAAAAGCTCCGATCATACTGGACATCGATATCAAGTCCAACACTACAAGTCCCCTCCCCTCACCCCTTCCCTGCCCCCAACTTAAACTGGATGGATTGCTATTCTTCTCAGTTGAGGGTCAGATGAGAAGGATGGCTTGTGTTAGAGCACCAGTTGTGCCAATTTATGTATCTTCAGATATTAGAGTCACAATCAGTTCTTAGTAATCTTATAGAATTTACCACAAAGACAGGCACACAGTAGTTGCTTAGTAAAGATTTGCTGATCCCATATGCAGTGGAATGAGTAGTTTGGTAGTGAATCTGTACTGACTGAACATTGCTGAGAGCAGATGAACTGGAGGTTGAGGGGACCTATCTCTTCTCAGGTCCCTTACTTGTATGTAGGGAGAAACTGCTCAGAGAGAGTGGCTTCTCAGAGGAATCATCTATTTCAACTCCCTCATTTCTGGAGGAATCATACTGACGGACATTTAGTAAAGACAGGAATTTTTAATGGCTGCCAGAAAAGAAGACTTAACACACTCTCTAACCAATCCAGTATTTAACAATCCTTATTATCAAAAAAATTCTTTCTTATCCCTTCTGTTACAGTTTAACATTTTTTTTTTCTTTCCTTTTCTTCGCCCCAGGCCTGGCCTCGGGGCAGATTAAGAACAGCTGGGCTCGATCTCCTCCCTACAGAAGACTCTTTACTAGAGCAGAAGACTATTATTAACTACTCTTTGGCCTTTGCTCTTCCAGATAAATAATTTGTTTCTCTGTTTTTTTTGTTTTAGATTTTAGTTTCCAACATTTTAGTCATTTTTGTGACTTCTTTTAATTGTAAACATAGATCAGACACTGTCCATTATGCACCATAGTTTGTTAAAGTAGAATAGCCTTCCTATTGCTCTATATTCTTGTCTGGCAACTGTGACAGGGTAGAAAGACCAGATTTAAAATCAGATGGACTTGGACTCAAGTTCCAGCTTGGTCATTTAGTTGCTATGTAATCTTAAAAAAGTCATTAGCATCAGATTCTTCTAGAAGTTGGAAATGAACCACTACCTGACAATGCTGGTGAGATTAAAGCAGATAATGTTATGAAAGTGGTTTGGAAACGGGAAAGCAGTATTGTTATTGTACTATTGCTACTTTGGTTAGGGATGAGCATAAGAAGAAAAAGACTCGGTGGATTTTACCAAATCTCATCTGAAAAGACTGAAATCTTCATTATTACTCATCTAATACCTCAGTCGACCTGTGGTAAAAGAATGTTTTTTTCCCCAGGAAGTACTGACTACACCATTAAAACATAATTGGGGCAGCTACACAGTGAACGTGATGGCACCTTGATGTGGGCATGTGTGGGGGCCGTACGGGAAGGGGAGAGACATGGTCCAGTGGAACTCATCACACCCTTCACTTGCATCTTATCTGAGAGGAGATGTTGGGGTGGGAATCCCGAGAGAATGGGGGTGGGTGCCAGCATGACCTGCTCTCTGGGCTGTTTTACCTGCATCCACGTGGCTGTGCCTGTTGATCCGGAAGCAGAGAAACCTCCAGAATGCACACCGATAGCACCTGACTCTACGGTGCTTCGCTGAACAGGGCCTGATACAGGCAGTCCAAGACGGGCGTCCAACCTTGGTTCCTCACCAACACACCCCATTCAGTTCCTCCCCCCCTGCCCCCCGCTGCCTTCTGGCAGGTCAGTTATTCTAGAATACTGGCTTTAGAGAAGGGCAGTGCTCAAGAGCAGAAGAAACTGATGAAATCGAAATAACTAGAAGTTCCATTCATCTGATTATAGAACTTCTTCCTTCCACTGTCATACAATAATATTTGCCCATAATGGGTATAGAGCACAGAAAAATGCCACAAGTGCCTTAAAATCACATAAAGTTATTCTCAGTCTAATGTAAGAAGTTGGTGTTTCAGTGAATTCGAATTCTCTGACAAATGGCTACTCAATTTAACCAATATTTATGGAGTGCCGA